GGGAGGGCAAGCACAGCCACAGCGGCTGCGAGCCGGAAGGGCAGCGCCTGGGAGCAGGAGGGGAAACCCGCCACAGCGCCTGGGAGCAGGAAGGGAAACCCAACAGGAGTGGCTGGGAGCGGGAAGGGAAACCCAGCAGGAGCATCTGGGAGCGGGAAGGGAAACCCGCCACAGCACCTGGGAGTGGGAGGGGAAATGCAGCAGGAGTGGCTGGGAGCTGGAGGGGAAACCCAGCCGCAGGGGCTTGGAGTGGGAGCGAAGCCCACCTCAGCGGGTTTCGCTCCCCTCTCTGCTTCGCTCCAGCCGCTGGAAGCCCTATTCTTGCAGGAATCTTCCTGCAACGGGCCTCTAGTATATATCATAAATGTACACATACCTATGTATAAAAACTTTCTCATAAACTTTCAACCAATTAAGCATAAAGACATACCCTGTGATTTTTTCTTTACTTGTTATCCTGACAGTGCCAGGCAGATAGCAGGTGCTCACTAGTACTGGATGGATAGATGGAGGATGGATGCTCTTAGAAATTAAGTGAAATTTTAATTGGCTGAATCCCACTGTATAGCCTAGTCAGAGTAATCGGGCCAATAGCTTACCGTTGAAGCAAAAAGAAGCCAGCTTTCCAGGTTCTGGATGAAATTAAAAAGACAAATGCATGTTAGGGATAAAAATGTCCCTTTTGTAATGATTTCATCTGTAAATGCACCTCAAAAATTAACAAAATTAATAGTCACTGCAGATCTAAACAATCAATCTTTGGTATTAACCAATGTCACCCTGACACATTTAATTAATAAAGTTATAAAAAAGGTGAGGAGTCTCATTTGACATTGAGATAGCATGAAAATATTTTAATCAACTGTTCTAGCTCTAGATGATCTCTAATTTAGGCAAAGAGATGTCAATAGTTTGTGTGGACATTAAGAAAAATCCACTCTACCAAAAAGTTGACCTAGGATCCTGCAGAATAGAAAAACAGGTGGGGTTGGAATTCTTTCTTTCTCAGTCAGCACTGAGTCCTGGGAAGGGGTAGAGAACAGAGAAAATGGCGATACTGTGCTCCTCCCTGCTTTTGGACAACTAACTGAGCCAATCCCCAGTCGTCATATCATGTTCCAGAAGCAGTTTTCCTAAAAGTTACTATAGTGCCCAGAAACCATCCTACTTCTGATTATTATTAGTAAGTATTCTGCAAGCATTTATAGGCACCAGAGATCCCAATAGCATTCTTGCAACTATTTAAAAAATCAAGATTGAAAGAGTTGCTCCAACATGCTTCAGTTACAAAGCTTCCCCGTTACATAAGGTTTCATGTCTTTCCCCAGGCTAATTTTTGAATCAAGGCTTTTGATTTTCAACAAATATAAGAGGGAGAAAAGCTGACCTATTGGTAAAGTTCTCCTGTAGAATGATGAGGCCACTTGCAACCTATTCATTTTTATGTGTCTCCTTCTAAGGTGGATCCGTTTTATTAGTGAAGTGGCAGGAAGCTGTCTGAGAGACCAACATCCTGACCTCCTACAGCTCCTGGCATTTCTCCACTTGGCAGATCGATGTCACTGCTCTTTCACTGGTTGCTACCTCTTTATTTGTGTTTCTAGAAGCAGAGGCATACGAATGAATTTGTCAGAATCTCTGGGGGAGATTTTTTAAAATGCATATTCCTGTGTCCCTATGTCTACTGATTCCAAATTTCTGGAACTGGTTTTTGGGCATGTGCATTTATATACTTTTAAAAATTGTCAAATCAATATGTGCACAAAGACATCAAAATATTTACAATCCATACAATATTTCCTGCCCTGCCCCTTTGTATCTTTCAGGCTCATATCCCAGAGGCACTGATCAGTTTGTATTTTTTTACATGGGTTTTTTTTTTTTTGGTAACTATTTTCACACCTCTAATTAATGTGTTTATACT